AACATTTATTTATTTATATCAAATGGCAGGCGTTGTGAAATTTATCATTAGCTCTTTAATTGACTTCAGGCTTCACAGGGGAGGAGGAACATCAAAGTGAAACAAGTCGAGAGGGAGAGGGGGAACAGAATTGAGTTTCAAAGATGTAAAGGAGACAGAGAAAGGGTAAGATGAGTACTGTGAAAGTGGTCGAATATGACATACAATTGGGTGAGGGTAGTTTGAAGTCAGAAGTCAACTGCCAGTTAATAGACTTTTTTGCCGTATGAATATACGTTGCCCAGGGTGCACCACGTGGAGGTAAGTCTATCGCACACTCCATTCAAGAAACATCACATTTAATCAACCACAAATGGCTATTTCGAGCATTAATTGACTCTCGTGAATCCATTTATTTACATACCTGTACACGAATCCTCGAAACAGAAGTGCAAAATACCAGAAACGTAAATTGAACATCAATCGACGCCCTTATTAATCATTAAGCACCTATCAATCGTCGAGTTTGCTGATAGGGGGGGGGGGCTATAACCAAAAGTCGCGACAACAGCGAAGAAATTGGACAAACGACAAGCGTCCAACAAAGAGCTTGCAAATATCAAGCAGGGGTGAGCGATAGATATACCTCCACGTGGTGCACCATGGGCAACGTATACTCATACGGCAAGAAGTCTATTATTCGGCAGTTGACCTCTGACTTCAAACCACCATCACCCCACTGTATGTCATATTCCACCACTTTCACAGTACTCACCTTACCCTACTCTCTATCATTGTGCCTGTCTCTTTTACATCTGCAAATCACTCTTCGGTCCACCCTCTTGAACTTTGATGTTTCTCCCCTCTGTAAAGTTCGAAGTCAGCTAAGGGCTAATGATAACTAACAAAACCCCTGCCATTCGAAATAAATAAATAAATAAATATACGAATATCAAGCACGTTGAAGATAAAAACAAAATATTTAGGTTGAGGGCTTAAAGAAATTGAAAGGTAAATGTTTTTCCAGAACGATTATAATATATAGCTTAATTTACATTGCACTTCTTAATTATATATCCACTCAATGTATATCTATTTAGATATAATGAATAGAATGGTTTTTTGTTTCCATAAGCATTGGCAGGTTAAAGTCAGCATAAGTGGAATCTCCTGCTACATCTGCTCCCCCCCCCCCTCCCGGAGATGGAATCCACTTGTCCTGCTCTACACCTCTCATTCTCAAAAGGCTCTGTACTCCCTCCTCTGCAATCACTACAGTTCTCCCCCGTAAACACTTCGTACTTAATAGTTCCAACACCTGCTGTCACATCTCGACCCAAACCCTCTTACACTCATCGCGGACGAGGAATTTCTTTCCCTTTCAACTGGAAATATGCCTATTAACTAAATTTTATGCGATTTCTTTACGTTTTTAGCTTTCTTAAGACCCTCTGGGGGGGGGGGGATATTGTAGGGAGTACAACTAGAGATCTCCCGAACAATCAACGGCCATAGCCGAGATGACTAAATAAAGCTCAAAATCAGCACATGGTTATCCAACCAAACAACAATCAAAGCCAACGAACAGTTAACATATCTAGGCCTAATCTTCCAATAAATTCTGCAAAGCATTGTCGCGGGTTCTCTAATTTGAGGTGGCAACTTGTATTGGTAGAAAACAGGTGGTTCGGCAAACGAAATCGATAAGGGTAAGCAGACATCCAGACCGCTCTTTGACCTAAAAGTCAGTGAATTTTCCAATCTTTGTGAACGCTAAGAAAATTATTGAAATAGCTTAAAAGCATTAGCGTCGTCGAGCCTCATTAGTAGCATACTCTTAATTGGTCAGACCCAACCAATGCATAAAACTCGTGAGCGGTAAATAATTATCAACTGATTCGAATAACACAAAGCACTAGCAGAACAAAAGTGACTAGTGATCCTCACAAAGTTGAGCAAAATACACAGGTTACGAGTGTATATTTATTTCCGATATCAAACAATCAAAAAAACACATTGAACAAGAACGTCAATAGGCTTTACATAATTGGAGGAGGAGGGGGAGGTGGTGGAGGGATACCAGCTCCCATAAGTGTCGCTCCCCAGGGAGCTGCGAACTGTGGAGGTGGTGGTGGAGGCGGTGGCATTAGACCCGGTGCTGCTACGTTGGCGGCAGGTACTGTGGCAACTCCTAGCATTGGCGGTGGGGGTGGTGGAGGCATAAACAGTTGGGGAGCATTTACACCAGCAGTCAAAGTGGAGAAGGCAGCTGGATGCTGAACTGCTCCAGGAATTCCAGCAGTTGCAGCAGCTAGAAGAGTAGGTGGAGGTGGTGGAGGGAAGGGAGCATCTGCAAAATGTTGATGAGGTCTATCGGCTTGAGAGAGGGGACTTTGAGCAGCCAGAAGTCTTTCCGCAGCTGTACCGTGTCTCTCACCCTTGCTGTCCTTCTTAAACGCATAAGAAATTGTGATGGCACGATTGCAAAGGTATTGGCCGTTCATAGCTTCAATGGCTGCGTCACTGGCCTCAAAACTCGCATAGTTGATAAAAGCATAACCCTTTGAGTTACCAGTTTCCGGATCACGCATAATCTTGGGAGTTTGGAGAATAACTCCAAAAGCACTGAATGTGTCGTACAGAAGCTTTTCGTCCACTTCAGGGTCCAAATTACCGATAAAAATGTTGGCTCCGATGTCGAGATTCTTTTGATGAGCACTAGCTTTATTTACACGAATTGGTTTGTTATACAATTTGATCATATTCATGATTCGCATGGCATAATCTGCGTCTTCTTCAGATAAAAATTCCACGAAGCCGTAACTAAAATACAAAACATGTGATGGTGAAAAGAAATCAAATTAACCGTACATGAAAATGATGCAATTTAATACAGATTAAATTCAAAGCGACCAATTACCCCTGATGCTGTCCAGTGATTCGATCTTTTGGCATATGCACATTTACAACAGGTCCAGCTTGGAGAAATAATTCCCACAGAATGGCTTCTGTAGTCTTTTCATCAAGACCACCAACGTAAATTGTAGCGTCTTGATTACGTTCTTCAACGGGTCCAGTAGCCATTGTAAGCACAAGAGACACCAAGAAAACAAGGCGCAAACTAGAAACCGGCGGTATATTATGAAATAGAAGCAAGAAAGATTGCACTGTTTGCAGACCTATACTTATATTCTTTAAGTATAACTTAAAATAATAATGTTTAATTTTTTTAAAAATCACTTTTAATTTTAAGGATAATATAAGAGCATGTTTTTTTCAATAATACTTGATGTGGGCTTATTTTTGTAATAGAGGATAATCCGCATTCTCTTATTCGAAAAACTACATTTTTCTATTTATTATAACAGTAAAACTTTTTCTTCAATTTTTCATATTAATGTTATCGTGATAATATAATTGAGGCTTAAGTCGAAGTATTGAGTAAATTACGCAATAGCCATAATTACTTTGACATATTCCGATCTTCTCACAAGTTAAGTGACAAATGTTTAAATGGTATGAAATTTGGAAATTTTATTTCAGCAATGGGATTAGTTGATGGATCTTGCCTAATTTTCAATGTGTTACATGATGAGAGTTTGCTATCTCAAATGAAATAAATGACTTCATGATGGTGTTAATATTATTTATTCATAATAAAGCAAGCATGATTTAGCTAAATAAAATGAAAAGTGGCATAGCCATTTATGCGTTAGAATTCGAGGGAAGAACATGACCAAATTCATATGGACATAGGCATTATTAACCTTAGTTCAAATGAAAGCCTTTAATGAGTATTTCGCCAATCACGATTCCATTACCTATTGTATAAATTCCCAACGATAAAGTAGATACAGTTGAAAGGGTGTCGTTCATTTTATTCTATGCTATATAATAAAACGTAAAATAATGATGATAAAATTATAGCTTATTATTTTTTTAATATGTAAACTCAACTAAGCTCTTATTTATACAGACAAAATTGCTGTATTAACAGAAAAAGTTAAACAAAAAATTATTATTTCCAACAAACTTGTTGTAGGCCATTTGATCGTGGCTGCTTTCATTAACCGCGTTTCTCTCGCTTGCTCAGTATGGATGTTAGGGACGTTCTCGGATTTGACGTAATTTACATAATCTGTACTTACTTTTGTAGTCCAAAAGGAATGTATCTCTTAAAAGAAATCTACAGCCTCCATCGTTGAATCGTATTTCCGATAATGACAATTTTACTGAACCCCGGCTCAAAATTCCCAAAAAGGATGAATTAAATATAGCTGGTTAGAATTTATCTTCTAAATTTAGACAAAAACATTGTTTTTTTGCTGTTTATTTGTTAACATTTTTGTTTTCAGACACTGATAGTAATATTTTGGAATCTCGGACTGATGCCGAAGATGAACTTGGAATGGTTAGTGAGGAGGATATTACAGAATCCACAGTAAGAAAAATGTGTAGCATCCTCGAAAAACGCATATTAGCTAATCAAGAGGCTCGCACCAAATTTCCCGATCAGCCAACAAAGTTTATGGATTCAGAGGTGGAATTACAAGAGACTGTCGAGAGCATGCAGGTTTGTCATCTTGATTCTAATACTTTTTAGATCTTATCGGCAAACCCGAACCTATATGGTGTATTAGCGGCTCAAACAAAGGCTCTTCACTTGCTTCTTGGTCTTCTATCTCATGAGAATACTGATATCAGTGTTAATGTTATAGATCTTTTATCTAATCTGCTTGAACCCACCGGTCTGAAGGATGCGAATCAAGATGCTGTTGGTCCCTTGCTAGATTTCTTTTTTTCAAATCAAATTGTACAGCTTCTGACACAGAATCTGAGTCGTTTGAATGAGACAATACGTGATGAAGCGGAGGGAGTTCACTCGACTCTTGGAATAATCGAAAGCCTTTTGGATATTCGGCCTGAAATGGCCGCGAAAATTGCAAATCAGGGCATTTGTACTTGGATTATGCGACGTATTCAACGCCCTCAATTCGATAAGAACAAGCTCTATGCATCGGAGATTTTATCCATCCTGTTGCAGCTGGATGATGCTAATAAGACCCGGTTGGGAGAGGTGGATGGAATTGATATTCTTCTTCAACAGCTAGCTGTTTACAAGAGACACGATCCAACTAGTAGAGAGGAGGCTGAGATGATGTACAACTTCTTTGATTGTTTGTGTTCTACGTTAATGTTAGCTTCCAATAAAGACAAGTTTTTGAGAGGCGAAGGCATACAACTTATGAATCTGATGCTTCGGTAAGTAGTCTTGGTTTGATTATTTTACGTACTCATTTGATTTTGGTCAGTGCTTTCTTCCTCGGCACTTAATTAGGGAGACGCTTGCATGTATTTCTTTTTTACTCTAATTTACATTTATTGCTTCTCCATTGTACATTGGATCGTCATGTGAGTTGTGTACATTTGGGATTGTTTGTTTCTTGTTTTAAACTTTGATAAACTCTTCAAGTTTCGCATTTATTGTATCCTCAAAGAGGGTTATGGTTATTTGGTCGAACTGAGTGCATCTCAAATTTGTGTTCATAATGGTGGTTTACTACGTTTCTTGGGCTTACACCATAGTTAAGCTATGGTCCTGCAGTTTGTTCAACTCCAGAGTATTGCCAGAAAGTCCATCTAAATTGAGGTCAATTAATGGAAAATAGTTGTAGAATCAGCAGACAGTGGGTAACGTAGAGGGTCTGTCCATCGATCGCTTCTGGCATTTCATGATCGCATTCGTCTAGCACTATACGTCATTAACAACAATGTATGGATTATAGTTGGTTTCGCTAAAAGCCTGTTTTTCTTCGCATATACTTTTGTACTTTAGTGAGCGCCATGCTGCTCGAGATTGCGCCTTGAAGGTTCTTGACTATGCAATGGCCGTGGTATCCCCATCGGAGAGCGGAATCGGCGGTTCTACGGGCACTTTTCTCCTTTCGGAGGGTGAAGCGGCCGCAGCAGCCAATTGCAATAAATTTGTTGAGGTTCTAGGTCTTCGTACTATCTTCCCCCTCTTCATGCATTCACCCCAGGCCAAGGGTGCCAAATTGGCTCAAGCTATTAAAGAGAAATCCCTTCCTGGACCTACTACTGCTGAAATTGAGGAGTATATCATCAGGTGAGTTGGTTTTTTTTATCTATGACTACCTTTGATAATGAAGAAACACTTGAACACGTACCAAGAGAGTGTTTTGGGCATTGGAAATACCATTGATAACAATAATTCATCTGATCCTTATAATCATCTGATTAACTACTGTCTTGATTTAATTTTCTGGGTTACCATCTTCCAGTTGAAAGTTGGATACATTCATTTGTTGTTGTTTTGGGGCCACCATTAGTTGGTTGATTACCTTGGGTGCGTGCTGACTGACCTGCCGGTGTATTCTCACCTCATATGATTTACAAAGATGACCAGAAGCATTCGCACAAATTCCAGTTGTAATCCACGTGCAGTAGTGCGAGGAATAGGTTCCAATGTAGGATTCGTCGACTAACTTTCTTTATAAAACATCCTGCTTTTCAATTTACTACTTTCCTTGTCCTGGATGGTTCCGGGCCAATTAAGATTCCCTACAATTTTCGCTCGACTGAATTAACTTAAGTAATATTGTGCATGGGTTCCTTTGAATGAAGCCGGTAATACATTCTGGAATTGGTGATGTAGAGTGAACAAAGGGCTTTTTCTCCCATTTTATCGATCTTTTACTTGACATTCTGGGTTGTTTAAGTGTTTTTTTTTTCAATTAAATGGACAAATATTGTTGATGTTCACAAGCATCTGTCAATTTCTGATTACGCTTATATACGAGGGGGAATCAAATAATATTTCAGACAAATTTCATAGCTACAAATATGACAAAGATTTACAAATTTTCGCAAGCTCAAACTTGTCTTTTGGGCTACCTTAATAACATCCAACTTTTCGATTATTCTACGTAAGGTGAGGATCAAGACAGGCTGCATATCAAATTATCTACAAATTTTCAACCCTTCAAATGACACTTTTTGAGATCAGATATAACACAACATTTTTAACTAAACTGAATTGGAAACCTGTTCAGATTATAGGAACTTTTCAACAGGTTTATGGTGGCTCTGCGCCATGTAGATCAGTCATTTATGATTGGAGTAAACGCCTTAAAGAGGGAAACGGGCAACTTGATGATGACCCTGGAGATTAAAGACCCACCACAGCAAGAATTGGAGAAAAATCTCTTGTGAAAGATGAACGGGTCACTATTGAGCAAATTTCCAATAAAGTAGGAATCACACTCAAATCAGAATTTCCAATTCTCACAGAAAATTTTAACTTGAGTAAGCTCTCGATGGTCACGTTGGGTTCCAAACAACAGATTCAAAGAACTGAACTTTCTTTACCAACTTCGGCAAAGATGGAAGCAAATAATGATAATTTTTTCCAAGCTCTGTGTTACCTTATGTGAAATCTGGATCTACCAATTGGATCCAGAAAATAGAATCTAATCAAAAGAGTGGCCTCCAAGAAGAACATATGGGCCAGTCAAGTTCAAAGCTGAAAGGTGCCATAAGAAGGTCATGGACTGATATTGGTAGACTTCCTAGAAGGACAGAAAACGGTCACCTCAAGTTACTAGGAATTTTTTGAAGAAGTTGAAGACATCCCTTGGGCCAAATAAACGGGCCGCGAAGAAGCTGCACAGTCAAATTTCGTTCCATCATGACAATGCATGTGCACCATTCTTCGAGAGCTGTCAAGGTCCTGTCGCACGAATTTCTATGGGAAACACTTCTCCATCCTCCCTATAGTCCATAACTGGCCCCCTCAGTCTTCTTTTTCCACAGCTAAAACACAACCCCTTAAAGGCTCTCGATTTACGTCTTTAGATGAAACAAAAACATTTATTTATTTCAAATCGCAGGCGTTTTGATAGATATCATTAGCCATTTAGCTGACTTCGGGCTTCACAGAGGGAAGGTTCATCAAAGTAGCAGAAAGTCGAGGGGTGGGGAACAGAAGAGCGATTCACAGATGTAAAAGAGGCAGACAGACACAAATGCGAAGAAAAGGCAAGGTGAGTACTGGGGAAGGGGTCGAATATGACATACATTGGAGTGATGGTAGTTTGAAGTGAGAAGTCAACTGCCGGTTACTAGACTTTTATGCCGTATGAGTATACGTTGCCCAGGGTGCACCACGTGGAGGTAAGCATGTAATTTCATGGGACCAATTAAAAATGACTATGTCTTGGAGGGAGGCACCTGTCAGAATCTTCATTGACCGCTTTCGTCCTCCCCCTCCCCTTTTTTCAGCATCGTAGCAGCTCTTCTGCGTCAATGCACAGGTCCATACCTCCAGCGTGTGCTGGCCAAATTTACAGAAAATGAGCACGAGAAGGTTGATCGTCTTATCGAATTGCACTTTCAATATCGCGAGAGGGTTGATAAAGCAAATATCGCAATTGAATCTCTACGTCAGGTAAGAACTTCTTTATTTTGCAACACCTATGTGGACTGGCCAGTGGTTTTTGTTCCGGTTTTGGATGACATGTTTAGGAAAAAATGTGGTTATAATAGACAATTTAGAAATGGGAATGAGTTTTCAACACAAAGGGCTGTGTTAACTGTCAAACCAATTACCACGGCATTACCTTTAGCCTCATTGTTTATCGCAGATGTTATCTTGGCCACAATCTTCATCTGTCATGCTTTCATCAGCTTTACATCAGCTACAGATTGGTGGAACTATGTATTTGACATTGAAGTGTTGACATTGACAAGCATCATCCGAACCTTAATGTTGAAGCAGTCTGTCATCTCTTTGTTCGTAATACAAAGGCCACCCACAGTGTAGCACAGTCGTCAATGTCCCCTCTGAGAAGTGGGAGATATGTATGGATTAGAATTTCTCATTTGAGAGATTCTATCGGGCTACTTATCGCGTTCGATCGATGTGCGTTGAAAAAAAACAATAGCTTATAAATGGACCTCCTTATTAGTGCCCAATTAAGGTAGGAATACCTCAATTCACAAGAAGAGGATATGCTTACTAAGGAACCATCCTCCAGTCATCTTTCTCGCTCCCCCTCCCATTGTAGCGTCTCTCGCAGCATCCAGACGTGAGCAAAGAAGAGCTGGAAGAAATGATAACTATTAAAAAGATGGATAGTGGTCTACTCTCCTTCCAACTTATTGACACTTGTCTCCTTGATATCTCTGTCAATGGGGCGCCATCGGTAAGACCAGTTACATGTTCGATTCTGTGGAATAAAAAGTCTTCCAACTCGTGATTTGTTCTTTTTTCAGATTCTGGGATGTATTCAAGGTCTTCTGAAGATGCGAGGTGCGTCCACTACAGATTTGGTAGCTACGGTTAGAGGTAAGTTTTGCCAAAGTGTTAAAGAATCTATAACCAAGATTAGTGAAATGGATGTTGAGTACTTAGATCAATCCTCTTTTGTCCATAATAATGCATCTTAGGAGGTATTGGAAGGTTCAAAGTCTAACAAAACCTTAACTGGAGCCATCGCTTAATAGAATTGTTGGTTAGGTTCCAATGACCGTTGAATAAAGCTTGGTGTTTCTTATGTCGATCCAGAATGAGTCTTGTATAACCAACTTGGGCTAATTTTGTTTTATTTAATGCTGATATTTCCATTTCTTCCAGATTACGCTGAAAGTCTTGGTGAGAGTCAGACCGTCATGACCCCAGAAAAGGCAAGAGTCCTCCGCATCATCGGTCGATTTGGAGAAATGGAAAATCGACCGCCTCAAGCAACTTCGACTTCAGTCAGTGACATCCCACTTCCTCCCACCCTTCCCCAATAACCCCCCCCCCCCATCTCCACACATATTTCCAAAATTTTCTCTCTTTGTAATATATGCGTGCAAATGCAAAACGTAAATGCACCCTGTTAATAGTTAAGTCCAAGCATTTTTATTTCAATATTAGGAATTTTGTATTGAGTTTTCGTAATTAATTGACTGGTTTCAAGTCTAGCACTTTAGAGGCCAAATAGGGAGGCACCCTCGAGTTAAGCAGAACTCTGGGGGGAGCTGAGAGGCTGGAATAGAGGGGAATTGTTCCAGGAGAGAAGTGTGCGAGTGTGTGTGCGTGTTTACAGAAGGGGGCTTCTTATAATTTCAATGAGGAATAGCATCGATGGAATGGTTTCGAATGTCACATGAGGGGAAACGAAGCCTTAGCAACGTTCACTCAGAGTCCGCTTAATTGAATTACACAACTGAATTTAAAATACCACATGAGAGCACAAAATGTTTTTTTTTTTCACCAAGAACTTGAGTACATCGGAGAGTTCAATTCTGCTGTGAAATTGCAGTAAGGCCAAGTGCTTCAAGCACTACTATAAGACGTGGATCCCTGAGAAGGAGAGATCCATTTAAACACTTAGACATTTTGTCAGTCTAAGAGAGGAAGTGGTCGAAAGCCAATAATCAGGTGACGTCCATAATGCTAATAATAATGGGAAAGGCGACTTTCCATTTCATCGTTCGACAAAATTCTACGAGAAAGTTGAATTGAAGAGATCTTTAGGCTGCTCACTTCCAGCCTCCCTTATCACGTCAACACAAAGACTCCTTAAGATGACTA